ATGGAGGGAAGGATGGATGCCTGTGGGCAGAAAGAAAGTCCTTTGGTCGATCACACCCATGGAATCAATGGTGTTGGGCAGCCACCCTCTACCACCCCGAGTCATCACAACCTGTTCCTGGTTTCCCCATGAGCAGGAGTGAAGTTTTTTTTATAGGTATCCAGAACTGCACAAATACTGCCACGGAGGCAGGACAAAGATAGGGTCACCCAAAGGATTCATGGCAGGGCGGGCACTTTTATGAGTTCCCCCACTCCAGCATGAAAGAAGGCTGGCCGCCGAAGAATGGATGCTTTTGAATTGTGGTGCTGGAGGAGGCTCTTGAGAGTCCCTTGGACTGCAAGGAGAACAAACCTATCAATTCTAAAGGAAATCAACCCTGAGTGTTCACTGGAAGGACAGATCCTGAAGCTGAAGCTCCAAGACTTTGGCCATCTCATGAGAAGACTGACCGCCGAAGAATGGATGCTTTTGAATTGCGGTGGTGGAGGAGGCTCTTGAGAGTCCCCTGGACTGCAAGGAGAACAAACCTATCCGTTCGGAAGGAAATCAGCCCTGAGTGCTCACTGGAAGGACAGATCCTGAAGCTGAGGCTCCAATACTTTGGCCATCTCATGAGAAGAGGAGACTCCCTGGAAAAGACCCTGATGTTGGGAAAGTGTGAAGGCAAGAGGAGAAGGGGACGACAGAGGACGAAATGGTTGGACAGTGTCATCAAAGTGACCAACATGAATTTGACCAGACTTTGGGAGGCAGTGGAAGACAGGAGGGCCTGGCGTGCTCTGGTCCATGGGGTCACAAAGAGTCGGACATGACTAAAAAACTAAACAACTCCAGCATGGATTGCAAACGCATCTACCTACATATACAAGATCCAGAAAGGCTAATTCTTTTTCTCCTTCTCCTTTTTTGCAAGGAAAGCGAGATCCATCCACAAGTGACTCATGCCCACAGGTGTCTCCTTCTGAGCAAACGTTCCTGCAGGAAGGGAGATGCCTCCATGAAGGTAGTCGGCCCCAGAGTCCTGCTGACCCCCTCCCCCCGCCATGTAACAGTGGAGCCACAGAGTTTGCAGGTTTACATCTGTGGCCAGATTAATATTCCAACCTTTTTGATTTACCCTGAGCCGAGCGACACCCGTGATAATTGATGGGCTATAAATCTACACCAGCGACACCCCGCTCTCTGGAAGGCGGACTTATTTTGGAGGGGGGGAATTCATCTGCATTGCAGCGTTATGCTTTCCCGAATGGATTCCGTCTGGATATTAAAAGGAGGGAGGGGAGGAGGCAGAGGAATGATCCAACTCTGGAGATCCACGCCCAACTTTACCTGGCAAAGGGACATGCCAGGCGCACACCTCTGAGCGCAAATCCAGTCATTTGCAAAAGCCATTTGCACTGGGGAAGGTTCTGTATATTCTCCGGAGAAGGATTTTGATGGGCAGAAAAGTACTACAGGTTGAGAACCTACATAGATAACAGGGATAACGTTTTGTTTTAAAAATAAACCATGTGGTGGGAATTGAAGGCGACCCCTTGGGCTGCTTCCTTTTTCAGTAATTCCTTATAACGTTTGTCAGGTTTAAGGTTAAGGTTAAAGCTTAAAAAAAATCAAGTCTGACATTAAAAGAGTGAACAGCGTAAAGTCACACAACCTACAAGTTGCCTCGTTGACTCTAACCGAGGCCAGAAAAGGGGGGGAAGTTTTGCTTACATCCACGTACTTATTGCTCAGTTCCCGTAACGTCAGCACCACGGCTGGTCTGGATGTCATCTTCTGGGGTGGCCAGAAGGATTCCCAAAGGCCATCCAGACGGTCTGATGCCACCGCCCCCTAGCAGGGAATCCACCGCGCCCTCCCCCAAAAAACAGTCCCTTTAGGGCAGGAAAGACCCTCCGGAAAAAGGGGGGGGGCTTGGAGGAGGGATCCTGAGCGCAGTTCGCGGCAAGAAGGGAAGTTGCACCGGATCCAGAACTCTTTCTCCATCATCTTCAGGTCCCCAAAGAGGTGGAGAAAGGGGTCCATCCACCCTCCCTATCTGCATTCATGAATAGGGGGAGGTTTCTGTCCCCCACCCCCACCGGATCCAGAACTCTTTCTCCATCATCTTCAGGTCCCCAAAGAGGTGGAGAAAGGGGTCCATCCACCCTCCCTATCTGCATTCATGAATAGGGGGAGGTTTCTGTCCCCCACCCCCTCCACAGGTCTTTCCTTCCTCCCCCCACTCCTGTCTTTGTCCAGCTCCAGCGGGGCCCGATCCTTCGCCTACACGCCCAGCAGCGCTTTCTATCTCCCACCCCTTTTGTGTTTCCATCCTAGCAAAGAAGAAGGAATC